AAAAAGTAACTCATAATTGCAACCTAAAAACAGAAATCTTGAAAGTACTGGAAAAGGCCATAACAATGAACAGTGTGCTGTGACAACATTGATGATTCTCCAGCAACTAATGCAGTGGTCACACAGTGTGCAGCTCAGTGTGATAGTGATTCCACTTCTTTTCCTGGGATTGAGGGAAAGGTTGGTGAAAGTGAAGTAATTTAAACAAGACAAAAAGGGCAACTTTAATACCCTAGATAGTGCTTGTCAACTATCAAATTTAATTAATCAATCCATGTCTTTGTACTTGCTACTGTCAGTAATTCAATCAGAGCTTGAGAAAGTTACTTTTTCTAGATTACAAAGTTACTCACAGAGTTTGGAAACATTCCCTTTTTTGGTTTACCATTCCAGCTGGCATTTCTGCGAGCTGTACTACAAAAAGTAACTTTTCCAAGCTCTGCCCCTATGGAATTGCACAACAGCTTCTTTATACTGTGCAGATATGATCACCCAGCATCAGTTCCAATGACTGTGCCCTTGAACTGGCTAATCTGGTTAGTGGGCATTTTATTAAGACATCCATCGTAAGCGCTGGTAGGTGTTCAGTTACAGTTGGCTTGCAATCTGTGACATTTCTGTTCTTTATATCCATTTGTTTTAAAAAAAACAAAACCTCCCGGAAACATTATATACCTTTAATGTCTGTTTGCACTTGTTCCAAAGTAAATGTAAGAAGAATTGGTAGGCATGAAAATACAACAGGAAAAGGTTCCTGATAGACATGTGGGAAAATAACACACCCTTTTGCTACTGGGGAACCAAATGACGTGCAGATGATGAATTGCTGAAACCAGTTAACTGATAGACATGTGGGAAAATAACACACTGGGGAACCAAATGACGTGCAGATGATGAATTGCTGAAACCAGTTACCTGGTGCAAAGAAAGGAGAGACTTTACAACTGGAAATGCTGACCTCACTGCTTATGATTTCTCTGTCTCTATCCATCAACATATTTGCTCCTTTAGAGCAATAGCCACAGTATATATTCTAATATTTCATGCATCTGATGAAGCAAGACTCTCAAATGTGAAAGCATATGCCATCATAAATGTTAGTTCTTTTACTTGCTAAGGTGCTACAAAACAATTTGTTTAGAATATTTTAATAGGCTGACAGGGCACATGCATTTTCTTCTGCTTCACCAGGGATACTGTATTAGTTTCTGGCTGACAAGGATCTTATGACTAAAAATTGAGCCTGGACTGTCGCTAAGAACAGGAAGACAAGGATCTTATTTAACGGATCTTATTTAACTTTATAAAAAGTTGAGCCTGGACTGTCGCTAAGAACAGGAATGAAAGAAGGAGCATCTTTGGTTTGCAACAAGAAAGGTAGATAATTCAAATGACATGCTGGTAGAAATAGATGAACTATGTCATAAAGAGAGTTCTAATGAAAGTGTGTAATCAAATGGCTTTGTATTTTTATGGTTCCTTTAAGCATTTCCAATGCGTCTTTCAGTTCTGGAATTTACATGAACTTTGTGACCAATGCATAACCTTCCTGGTTGTAAGCCTTTGTGTACTTCTCTATGCAAACTTGTTCTAAGCAAATTGTACCAGTCTTGCATGGTATAAAATTCATAAGAGCAATGAGCACAAACAAGAAAGTACCTAAATGTACACAGCCTTGTCAAATTGTGAGTTCTGGGATTTGCAGACCAAATATTATTTTGACAGCTTCTGTGAGAATGGGCAAGAGTTCTACTTTTGTTTGTCACCATTGGTAGTGGTTTGTGCAGAGGGGTGGGGGCTAGGATTCACAACCATACTTCATCTTTAAAAAAAAACCCCAGTCAGTCAATCCAGGCTGTGCTAGAAGATTGTGTAAGAATGGGAGAGAAATGCATGAAGGGAAGCTGGGGGTTATGGTGGATCTTTTTGTTGTTGTAGTGTATAAGAAAGCGACAGGGTGCTACCCCCTTTCTTTCAAGGGAAAAGATGGTAGCACTAAAAGCCTTTTTTTTTTAAAAAAAAAAAGCAAAAGCAAAATAATTTGTAAGATATAAAATAAATCCCACCTCTATACTACACATTGTTTTTTGGAGTAATGGAGGCTGGGAGGAGCATTCTTGAAAGCAATTGAATGAGTCTAATAGGATGGTCTGACTCAAACCTCTATACCACACTTTGTTTTTTGGAGCAACGAAGGCTGGGAGGAGCATTCTTGAAAGCAATTGAATGAGTCTAATAGGATGGTCTGACTACAGAAACATATGGTTTCCTTTTGGAAAGCTCTTAACTCCATCCCCTGCAATCTACTGATATTTTTTAAAAATGTTCCATGCCTCAACAGATGACAAAAACTGGAGAAAGCCATGGATTTGTCACTGTTTTTACCAATACAAGCAGTGTGTCATGGCAAGAAGCATACTGAAATCATTCGTAATGAACCATCTACTTTCACAGCAATATATATGGTCTCTGGATGAGCTCTGAGCATACATAATTTAAGTCCTTTTGCTCACCTGATCAATGATACAAACACACGCACCTGCATTTTGAAGTTGCATGTTGTCTCATACTAACAAAAGGAAACAACAATCTTTTCAAAATTATTTAGGTTTACCTGCTTGCTGCGTCTTCATGCCTCTTTGCAGTGATTACAAGTGAACACCATAATGCTAAGAGTGAAAAACATAGCAGAAAAAGGGTCTTTAGCAACAATATGGGGGAAGAATGCATCCTTTTACTACTGCAAAGTGAAATGACATACAGAGTGAATTGCCCAAACTAGTAATAAGAATAATCATGAGCTATCAAGTCAATTCTGACTTATGGTGACCATTTTCAGGATTTTCTAGGTAGAAAATATGTAGAAATGGTTTACCATTCCCTTCTTTCGGGGGTGTCCTGGGACTGTGCCGCTTGCCCAAGGCCACACAGACTGGCTCTTCTTCTGGAAAGCACAGTGGGGAATCAAACTCCCAAACTCTGTCTCTGCAGCTGGATACCTAACTCACTGAGGTACCCAGCCAGATACCTACTCACTTTAGAAAGAGATATTTTAAGAAATAACTTATAGAAAGAGATATTTTAAGAAATAACTTATCTGCTTACAGCTTCTCGACCCTACTCTTATGTAAGTACTGTATTATCTGCCAACTTCAGATTTGTACCACTGCATCGTGGCTAATTCCTATGAGAACTTTTTTGACACTATTTCAGACAGTGAAAGATTATTGAAAATATACACATTGAAAAGAGCAAGTCAGCACTATAATGATTGTGCAACAGCTCGTGGTTCCATTGCAGGATGGATGTGTCTATATTTCAGTAAATGCAGAACATTATATTTAAAAATAGAGAACATGTGTGCTATGAATACACCATCTTGAAAAGGGCAGCTATGACCCCAACATATGATTTGTTTGATAAACGGTTTGGAATACTTTACAATCACAACAAAAGCAGTACACAAATACTGTATGTAAAATGTGGAGTGAAAAGTTCTTTTTCATTTCTTTTAGTCCAAAATGTTCAACCTGCAGAGCTGGCAAGAGTGGCTTAGGTGATACAAACTCAGATAGCTTGTCATTTTGAAAATGATCTCTGTTCAAAGCAGCATTTTCATTTAAAGCAGGCTCAGCTGGCTGCCATAAAAGGGATTTCTAAGTGGATGGAGCAAAGCAAATTCACCTTTCAGATGGGGTGGTAGGCAGGTGTAAGGAATGTTAGAGGTGCGAGTATGGAATGTTGCCTGGAATATTGGAGCACAATCTATTGTGTGCACACCAAAACATTTAGAACAGTCCATATTATTTCTTCAGAGGCTCTCATCCCGAACGTAACGGTACAGGATTGCATGGAATAACTGACACATGTGCATGCTTTGCCAAACCTGTTCATTACCAAGCAAACAGAGGTATCACATTGACAGGACACCAAGGAGGGGCACCTGTCAGTATTTACCCTGCTCTTTGTAGTAGCTGCATTTTACTGTCGTCATAAACTGTTGCCTTGAGCAGCAGGTTCATGATAGTCTGTGTTCTATCCCAAGGACATACAAAAGGGGAGGAGAGTGCACAGGAAGTCACTTATCAGTGGGTGTGGTGGTGAGGCCACTTACTAAGTCTTTGGCCATGGTTTGTTTTAATTATACTTCCTGGGTAATATAAGCATACCAGTCATTAAAAATAACGTTTCCTCCTGTATCCACAAAACAGGCTTCCGTTGAAGTTCCATCTTGTGGACCTTATGAAGGACTGAGGACCTCTAGTGGAGCAAAATCACAGTAGCCTGATTTTGGGCAACAGACAAAAGTTGAAGTTTTTAAACTACATATGATTACCGGAAGAAAAAACAGAGGACTGGACTTTTTTGCATTTTGGATATGAAACACACAATACAGTATGTTTTGAATTCTGTCCTCTCTGGCTAGCTTTTACCTGCACTGCTAATTTCAAAAGCCCCACAGTGTGATCCACTCCTACCATCCTGCTGATATCAACTTCATAAATGGTATCAAAAGGACTGAGATCCCATTCATTTTAATGGGGCCTGTGGTTCATTAAGATCTCATTTTATTTGGACTTGGGCTACTTAAATCTTAAATAGTAAACTGGATTTCAGTACTATTCACTATCCCTATATAATTACTGAAATGGCTGCCATAACTCACCATTTTATCTTGGCTATGATCCTGAAATTTCTTAACAGCGGCTTCATCACAAAGCAGATTGAGGTTTCCTCAGCTTTCTCCCTAATCTTGGAATAGCTTCATGTACTAAATATGTGCATTAGATACCCATTAAAAAAACAAGCACAGCATCCATTCAACATTATGTCCTCTTTAGCAGCAGGTTCTTAATATTTTAAATATTTTAAATTCATTCCCTAGCCCTAACTTGAACTTCTTGGTTTCAAGACCAAAATTCTTTTAAGAACTCAAATTCCAGCTATTTAATAATAGCCATCTCACATGTGTACCTTGATGGAAAAAAAAAACACACCAATAGAATGGAAGAGCCTTTAATTTGCCTGACCGCATATGCTTATCAGCACTTTTGTTAATATACACCTGGGCACATTTTAAAGAGATGCTTCAAGATGACCAGCCCTCTAAATTCATTGGCCTGAAAGTATGAATAAATACTTGGAGGGAGATAAGTGAACAAAGGGTTTGTTAGGCTACACTTCTTTACAAAATTTGTTTCAGCAAAAGTCACATCTTGCTTCACAGGTATTAAAGACAAGGTCTTTTATTCATGATACAAGACTTTAGTGTGCACGAAGAGATGCAAGAGAAAGGATATGCAACCAAATCCACCACCTTTATTTGTAGAAAAGGAACACATGTACATAATGAGATTCTAAAAAGCTGCCAGTTCCACTGCGTGCAGTCCTTGATCCCTCCCCAGCTGCATGCAAGAAGAGGCTCCTGCCGAAGACCCACACATGCTCAGCCTGTGAAATGATGCTCTTCTGTGCCAATGTTAAGAAAAGGAGTACAGGAAATGAGCAAGAGAAAAGAAACCAGAAGCCGGCAAGAACTTTTAAACTGGTGCCAGATGGCATCTTTGATAAGCATGGCTATATCCATTCAGACCACCTGGTACTGCACAGCCTAACATATGGTATTGGGATTAGGGGCTATGGGCTCTAACCATTTCATATTCCCATGCTGTGTATTGCAATGGATAGCCTCGGTCACAAAAATGCTCACCAATCAGGTAATGTTGTCAGATGATTCTCTACTACTTATTGTGGGAAATGTTACTGTTTTCAATACAACTCCCAGAATGTCTCAGTACTTACTCCTGGAGTACTCTGGGACTAGTAATTCCTCCTGCTGAAAAAAACTTCAACACCAAAATTTCCGTTTCTAGATGTTTGTATGTCTGGAGCATGCCAGTGGCTTTGATAGAGAACCCTTTAGGAACGATACCTCTTAGGAATTATTTCTTCTCTTCCCCAACCCTGAAAGCAACATATAGAAGTGGCAGCCCTTCAGAGACCAAGTTATTCATAGGCTTTGCCTCCCACACAAAAAAAGGTCTCATTATGACAACATTCACTAGACAATGAGAGAAAGCAGATCTCATCAAACATTCGGTCTCTAATGGTGGCAAGTAGAAAGGATTTGGACAAACAGCAGCAATGGGAAAATGGTTACTAAATTCTAAATGCTACAGACTGCAAAGTCTGTGGCAGAGTGTATGATCTCAGGATATATTTGTGAAGTGATGTGTCGAATGATGTGTTACATCTCAATCAAGAGGACATTAATATAGGCTTCTGAAATTGGAATTTTGGACTCACTTGGGTCAGTCAATTATATCCATTTGGGTGGTAACTGAAGCCAATTCTCAACCACATCAACTCATTAATAAATTCCTAAAGAAGTCAATTGGACTTGTTTGAATGAGCATGTGTAGGCTTACAACTGCTGGGGACAATCTAGAGAAAGACACAAGTGTTCAATCAGAATACAAATACTTTGGGGTGCCAGAATTTCTTTTGTACACTGCTGAAGTGTCACAGCATGGTGAAACATTCCTTTCCCTGAAGTAAAACCTCCCATTAAAGGAAGATACATGACTTGTTTATAACTGAAATATTTTTGATTTAATTTTTTCCAAATCTTAATTCAGATGCGTCACGTGTAAGGAGCTATAGGAACCTTACAAAGATGCACTCCCCCTTCACAAAAAAGAAGTTTTTAAAAGGCTGGATAAAAGGGAAGCAAAATTAAATGTGTAAAATATTCTAGGTTCCCCCATGCCCTACTCCTTCTCTTGCCCAGTAATTTATTCCCTTGGTATAAATTACTGGGCAAGGATGAACAATTTTTTAAAGCTAATTGCTTCCTGAACCACTTGATCCAAAGTGTTCATCAACATATTATTACATGAACGAGAGCCTACATTTTCTGTAGTCATTTTGCCAGGGTGGGGTTGGAGGTGGGGAAGGAGGCTAGGAAGGGAAAGAGAGCCATTGCTTCTACCTATGTACCAAATGATTATCAACCCCAAAGATAAGTTCTTACAAAGATTGCATACATGTAATTGTACTTGAACAAGGTTTCCTTTTTGTGATATCTCTGAAGTTATCAGCACAAGCTGTTTGCATTTAATTCGGCTATGCAGAATATGGAAGTTGGACCTACTGCCAGTAGAGAACAGTGATCCATTCAGAAGCTCTCTCTAACATGATTTTATGGTGGCGAGAATCCTATGGACAATTTACTCTTGCATAAGGAAACTGCTTAAAGCTTGGGTTGCATACATCCACTGCTTAACGAAGTGGTGCACACCCAGGAATGCAACCAGTACCTATGGCGAGAATCCTATAGACAATTTACTCTTGCATAAGGGAACTGCTTAAAGCTTGGGTTGCAAACATCCAGATTAACGAAGTGGTGCACATCCAGGAATGCAACCAGTACCTTGTTAAAAAGCAGACATTTGCCACCAAGACTTACATGATTTCCCTTATGCAACTGTAAATCACCAAAGGGATTTGAGCCAGTGAGGTTAGTTAAAAAAGCATGAACATGCAAGAAAAGTTTCTTGTCTGATATCAACTTAATGAAAAAGCCAAATAAAGTGATATATCTGGGACATGTTAAGAGACAAGAACTCCCATGCCATGAAAAGCACATTGCACCCCACTTCCAAATGCAGAGATGAAATATGGTACTGGCATGTTCTCTTCTTCACTGATGACATATTAGGAGGCAAAGGTCTTCTGAACTCTAACCAGGGAGAACATAACACAAGTTTTCTCACTGCTCAGAAGCCCAAGATGCTCTAGGTCTTTCTCTACCAAAACCACAAAATGTGCCTCCTTTTCTCTGCCCTGTCCCAGGTTTTGGAGAGTTTAGGACTGGTTTGAAGTGTACCCGAGACACATCATTTAATTCAGGGCTGCGAACATTAAGTAATAACTGTAGAAAAAGAATGTAGGGCCTCTGCTGCTGATGTATAGAGGTCCCAACTCATCGCACTGAAACACTGAATGAATCAAAGGTCTTGGAGAGTTTCAAAAACCTCAACACTGGCCTGGTTACAAAACAGGTAAACAAAAGAAATTTAGTGGGCTTCCACAGAACATGAATGCAAGTGGCTGGGTTCTCAGCCTTAGATTTAGCGCTTCTCTCATTTAAAGAACACACTGGATGCAAATGGTTCCAGGACAAAATAGTTGTCTGCACATGAGCTATGGTTTTCTACCTTTTGGTTCTGAAGGTGCTTAGGACTTCAACTTCCAGAAGCTTCAGCCAGCATGGTCAATGGTCAGGGATTTTGGAAGTTGATGTCTAAAGCGAATGGAGGGCCACAGGTAAAGAACCACTCAGAATCTGCATGAAAAAACACATGCCTACCCTGTTTCCATGAAAATAAGACAGGGTCTTATATTAATTTTTGCTGCAAAAAAAGCATTAGGTCTTTCAAGTACAGCAATCTAAATTTATTCAAATACTGTCATGTCATCTTCTTCTGGTTGCTGCACAATGGTGGAGTTTCACTTAACGGGCTTATTCTGGGGACAGGGCTTACATTACGAGCATCCTGAAAAATCATACTAGGGCTTATTTTCAGGTAAGATCTTATTTTAGAGGAAACAGGGTAGGAGTATACAACATGATATCCTCCAGTTGTATGTGTGTGTTTGCAGCAAGACTGCATCTCTATAGAAAAAAATTAGTGCCTTCTACAAAAACACATAAATGGACACATAAATGCAAAGCATTTAAAATATTCCCAAAGTTTAGCTCCATTTGTACCATGGAAAATATCTGGAGGGTGTGTGTTTAGATTAGCAGCCGAGAACATCTAAAGAGTCAAAGAACCAACTAAGCAGTCTTGGAAGCAACAGAACAAGTGTAGCTTTTCCTCTTAGTCAAGCTGCTTCACGATCTTTGTGAATCTAAAGACGGGTCACTGCACAGCACATTTACAAGAGGCAACTGAGAAGCACAGCATTTAGAGGGCAGAAGTACCTGCATATGCTGTCTGACTTCCTTTCAAGTGGGATGGAGTAGATCATTCCCTCTGCTCTGGCTGTCTCTCCAACTGTACAAACCCCATCATCCCTTGGCAGCATGGCTGCAGATACTGATGAGGTGTGATCTAATATAATCTGGAGAATTGCCAGACTGTGGGAGACTGCTGTTGATTGCAGAGACCACTCCTGAACAACATCTATAAATATCAACCCATTTATAGGGTTGTATTGAAATCAGCAGATACATTACCCCCCGCTCTCTGAAACAAAAATCCTGGGGTCCACAGACTGGATAGAAGACAGAGGAGTTTGTTTTTAATGTGCAAGGCACCTGTTGTAAAACAAGACACTCACAAGCTCAGAGTTGGCCAATTGTGGTTCTTATTTACGAAGCCTGCAGCTGTGTCTCATTCTCATCAGACACTGTGCTGTATCCTTTCCTCCTGTCCTCCACCCCTTTTTCCATTGCATTCTTAATATTTCAGGATAACATCTGTTATTCTATGCATCTGATTACCTTGGAAGCAGAAGGAAGGACGGGGAGAAAAGAGGAAACAAAAAGCCACACAACAGCAGCAGCAACCACCACCAAAAAAGGAGGAAACGAATGTACCAAACTAGAATCCAACTGCCTTCTAGTGAGCAGTATTGCCTTCTTTTTGCTCCAGGGCAGTAGACAGTGGCTGTCCAGAGCCTATTTACTTTTATCAGATCAGTCCCAACAGCCATAATGTAGTCAGTGGTGAGAGGTTATAGGCAGTGCAGGCCAGAATGGTCTGGAGGGCTGCAATGGCTCACACCCCTGCTTTAGCTGTTCACTGACTCATTCTATGGAAAGCTACATTCTAGACCTAAGGGCTTCCCTCATTTTGTAAGGCACAGGATGTGGAAGAGGAAACCGTGATCTCCTCCTTATCCCTGAATTTGCCACCTTTTCTCCCACACCAGCCCCACCATCTCCATTCAGCCAATTTGGAATCCAGGAAAACCTGTTAAGCCTCATCACCATTCCTGCCAAAGGGGCATGCAAGCACCTCCAGATCCTCCTCTTGAAAAGAAGGTTTCAGTCACATGTACCTCAAGAGATCAATACTGAGTTCATTTCAGGAGAACAGGGCTCACGTCCTATCAGGTCCACAAGTAGAAAAATGGGTGGGATGTCTCCAAGTAGAGATGTCCTGATTAGCAGATGAAACAGCTTACTGCAGATGGTCACCTTGGAACAACCATGCCCTTGGCTTAGGGTTTGTTGAATTTTGTTCCAAAACAGCAGGCAGAATGAAGGTGCAGTTGAATTCATTTGCTTCACCTCAACCTCAACACCAAGGTTTCCTTGATCAGCGTTTCCTCACTCAAGGCATTTTTCACTTTGCTCAACTTCACCGCCTCTTGGCTCCTTTCACAGGTAGCCTCCAAGATGTGCTGGGGAAGAGCGACACTGCCAAGCCTGGCATCCCAGGGATGTTAGTGCCAATATGGATCTTGGCAAGAGTTTCACCAAGATGGATTGGCTACCTCAGATGAAACCAGGAGAATGACTGGGTACAGAAAGGTCAGAAACTGGAAATTTACAATCTTGCAAGGCAAACTCAACTATGGATCTAAGAAGAAGAGACATTCTGAGCCCAAGCATCAAAGAGAAGGTGTCCACAGTGCAGGTATTTGCATACTTTACCTTGGTGACACAAAATCAAGGCCGAACCTCTAATCCTGACACAAAATCACTCTTGTTGTGCATGTGAATGGTCCACTCTGCAGTCACTAGCTAGGCCTTGGTAAGTCAGTTCCTCTGTTTGAAGAGTGTCCAGACACACCTCCAGGGATTCATTTGCTTCCAATGTTCAGTCATGGCTCCACTGTTACATCTACCTCAAAATCCACCAGAACCATAAAGTTGGACAAGAGCCTTTTTGACGGATGATTACCAGCGCACAGAGTTAATAAATAACAATGAAAAATCCTGATGAAGCCATTGGGAAAGAGCTTCTAAAGGGAACCAATCCCTTGCAAATAGCTCAAATTGGCCCAACCCCCAATTTGAGGAAAGGATGACCACAATTAGTAAAGCATTAGTAGTAAAATGAGACAATCAATTTGCTGCAGCAGCTTAGAAAAAAATTAAAGGCGCCTGCTACTGACTCCCCAGGGCAATCTAATGATGCTCAGCAGCAGCCATTTCAGGGCCAGCAAAGAGGCCCCTTTTCTCTTGCCCCTGTTCTCTAGTCCTTCAGAGACAACAGCTGACAGACTGCACAGACCTCTGTGACTCCATGTGCCCCTTTCCCAGCAGGCTTTGAAGGCAAAATGGACAACACATCACTCCCTTTGTCACGTTTGCTCTGCTCCTGCTGCTACAGCACCCACAGCCTCATCCTTAGCTTGGGGCTCCATGTAGATTGGGGTTATGGATGAAGGTTTCTTAAACCTAGAAGAAAATCAAGAGAAGATAGGATGAGCTGTTACAGGTTTGGGCTGAAGGGATCTCAAAAATGCCAGGCCACCAGCAGCTGTATTAACAGCAAAACACAGAAAAGTGTCCCACACTTGGTTAACCCAGGTTGTTCCTCTGCCAAAGGTATAGACAACCTCCCCTGGACTGAAATCAGTCCCCAGCTAGAATTTTGTTTACTGAAAGTATTTATTTATCCCTTCTCAGCTCATGAGGGCCATCCAAAGTAACGCACAATATAAAAACAATAAATAAAGATATTTGAAAAATAAACTTTTTAGTTAAAAATACATGTTTTAAAACATACACAAGAACACTGGGGAAGCCATCTTTAAAATCTGTTTTAGATACCAAGCCCCTTGTATGTCTTTATTGCTTTAAAATATTTCTCTCCTGTCTTTCTCCTTAAGATACCTATGAAAGACTGCAGTCTTGACTGCCTGCTGAAAATTCCTCAGCAATGGACAAATACTTCCTGACTGCTTCTTGATGAGCCATATTTGTACCATAAATTGACACAGCATAGCATACCCAATGGTGAAGAGAGAGCAGCAGAAAATGGTATCTGGAGAACCAAAGACTGCCTGCCACTGATCTAGCTGGATATTGTCTTTCTGCTGGCAGACCTATAGAGGTAGATGCCTTTCAAAGGTCTTACAACTAGATATCCTTAAGACCATAGATTGAATGTGACTCCTCCTCCATGCAACACATGTTTTACAGCTGAGCTATGGCCCTCTCCTTCAACACCACTTGACTAATTAGAGAGGAATTCTGTCTTTTCATAGTTGATCCAGGTGCAGCCAAAGAAGACCTTTCCAACTGAACTATGGAGAGGTCAACTGCTTGGCCCCCATCCTTGTCTCCCCTCTCTTTTGTCTTTCACCAAACTCAATTATGTTCTTCATTATGGCTCTCGGGGTCCATGATCCTTTCAGCCACCTTCTCTTCCCTGCTTCTACCCACCTAGCTCCCAATGGCCACCATCAGCAACTAGGTGGCAGAGCAACTACACAATTGTCATGAAGAATTATGTCCCACTGTCCTGTGTAGCCAGAGAAAGCCTTTAGCAAAGTACTCCACAACTACTGTTTTGTTGAAGAGGAATGAAGCTACGTAGCAAGGGTGCAGCATGAAGTTGTTGAGAGAATATGTCAATAGCCTGACACTAAACTAATTCACAGAACTAATTAGCTGCCCAGAGTGGTAGAATATACCAGATGGGCGGGGTATAAATCAAATAAATAAATAAATAAATAAAATAAATAAATAAATAAATAAATAAATAAATAAATAAATAAATAAATAAATAAATAAATAAATAAATAATTCAGATGTGTCACATCTCCCTCCAGATAAAATCACACTGCTCTGATTTGAGAGTTGGTTGCAAAAATACAACATCTGGTGCTATATCTAGACAGCCTGGCAGGAAGAGAATCTGAGAGAAAGCAACAAGATTTATGCAGTAATACAAGATACATTTTCCCCACGAAAGTCACTTACGAATAGGGAGAGGCAGGGACTCCTACCACCAGGAAATGATTCTTCTTACGGAAGAGTCGCCACAGTCCTTTGTGGTTTCCACGTACATCGAGATCCCAGATATGGAGGCACTGAAAATAGTGAAAAGTATGGAGACATCCAGGTAAATTGTTTTTAATGCATTTACTTGAGTGTAATGATTTACAGTGAGGTTGGTTATATGATTTATGATTTTTAACTAATTGTGGTTTGTCTGTTTTGATTCTTTTATGGAGTTTGCAAGTTTCCTGGAGCACTACCTTTGAGTGGAAAAGTGGTGCATAAATGTAATAATAAAAAGTAATATAAATGCAGGAACAGGTGATACCTTTATTGGACTATTAAGAAAATAAAACAAAGAACCAAAAAAAATAATAAAGCAAGGTTTCGATGATAATTCATTTTCCTTAGGCTGTGCACCAAGTTCTTGTGGGTAGCTCCAAAATTATAAGTTTATATTAAAGATCTCAAAGTATTATTTTGGAGCATCCCATGACAACCTGGTGCGCAACCTGAGGAAGATTAATTATCATTGAAAGCTAGCTTTACTTTTTGTTTTATTTTCTTAATGGTCCAATAAAGGTAAGCTCTGAATTGGGGGTAACCCAGCACTGCAGCAGCCCTTGATTCAAGCACATGCAGAAGGAAAGGCTGGATATTACCTTGGCAAGCTGAGTCCAGGTGGTGAAATCTGCTTCCTGTTCCATCTTGATGTACATCACATAGATCTTTCCTTCAGTATCTGGTACAAAGGAATCTTCACATGGGTTTTTGCTGTGATCCAAAACCTCTGCTTCACTAGCAGGAGAAAAAAAAATTAGTCCAGGGCATTGAGGGTGGAGGGAGAAAGGGCAGAAATCGAAGATTCACATGTCATACTCAACACAATATTAGAAACAGGAATCTGCAGGGTAGGAAATCCCCATTTGGCTTGGGGAGATGAGGAGGAACATTGTCTCAGTGTTTTTTTTAAAAATTGGGCTTCAACATCTGCTTGTAGAAAGTAAAGAAGCGTATGAGGTAAGACTAGGAAGGTTGTGAGAACAGCCTACATTCTCCCTCTTTTTCAAACTCTGCATCAGTTAAGCCAGGTTGAAACTGCTGTGGCTACAATTACATTTTTCATGTCCTGCAAAATTTTAATGAGGAATTTCTAGCATACGATAATTTTGCTAACAGGTTTCTAAGGGCCTTTGCAGGGAAGCATGACAGTTGGATAAAAACTACCCATCCAGCACTTCCAATCACCACTTATTTTTTCTGAAATGCAAATTTGTAAATATTTCCAACCATCAGCAACAGGATCTCCTCTTATGTGGGTGAGCCGCCATATGCACACAACTTTCCATACTTGTTACAAATAGTGACACCGAAATACATTCTTCACAAGCATCATGAGCTACCAAATGTGGTTGTACATAGTGGCAGCAGATACATGGCCTTGCTAGTGTTCAATTTTCTTGAAAACATCTGTTTCTGCCACTGCAAGCTTTTGCAAAACCTTAATCCTCACCTTGAGGCCTTGAGTTCTGACATATGATTACCTGAGCAGCCGGTGGATTTCAGTCTCATAGGTATCTTTCCTTAAGCTGCATGGAAGAAAGAGAAAATCAGTCAAGAGAGGAGTGGGAGAAAGAGAAGTGGGCAACAGCAATTCTCAACTTCCCTCACCATGGGCTATGCTGGCTAGAATTGATGAATACATAATCTGGCAACATCTGGTAGGTTACAGATTGCCCACTCTTGCTGTTTGCCTCATAGATAAGGCAACTTTATTTGTGTACATGCATATCTGTCTTCTTAGGGAGCCCACCGGAACACAGCCCACATTTTGTACCGGTGATCAACCTTACTGGCATCAAAGTCAGTCAAGAAATGCAATCAAAGTATCAGTCATGGGGCTCTACTGCAGGAAGAATACTTTGCAGAGAATTATACAACGTATTTATCCACATTCATGATCTCTTCTCTCCATCATTCTGGGTTTATAGTGAGCGGGTCACCAGACAGAATGAACGCTGGTTCACAGCTATCACACCAGACGCAAGGCCATGGCTGTAACATCGTAGTTACCATGTTGAAATTCTGCGACAGAGTTGCCTCAACTGCCCCTAGCAGGCCATCTGGCTCCACCTTGCAAGACCAAGGGAGTCTGGGAGAGAGCGGCTCTCCCAGGCCCCCTAGCCATCAAGGATATACTGACAGATGGATGGTCACCACCTGATGCAGGACCGCTGGAGGAGGGTGCAAGTACAGAAATAAGAGGGTTTGAGTTGCAAGGATCAGGACCATCTCAAACACATCAGATGAAGGGGAGACACGGGAGGAGGCAATGGAGCACTGGGACTCCATCTTCTGCACTTCCTCAGAGGTGCAAATAGGGATAGAGGAGAAGGAGAGGCACTTCCTTCTGTCCAGCATCTGACTGTGGAAGAGATTTGGGACCAGAGGTGGTGGCAACACAGCCCCTAGTTGATTCAGCGTCACCCCAGTCTTTGTGTCCTTGCCAGCCAATGACAGCCACAGAGCCTACCCTCCCCCCAACCCAAGATTGGTGCTGGCGTATAAGTAACTACAGTCATGTTCAAGGAGGATCTGGGAAGAGCGGCGTCAGAGAGCCCAGTACCCAACCCTCTATTACCAGCCGTCCCGAAAAGGACACCTCATATTCATAGTTCCTACCTGCTTCTCCAGACCGGGACTTTCAAGGACCCCAGTGAAGTCAACTGGGGCCCGCAGCCAGACTGACTGTGCCAAGGGGGCTCATGCAGAAAACTCAACCTCCTGAGAATGTGAGTTAAGGGGCAGTAAGGGTTGATTCTGAGCCTTTAATAACAGCTGCCATGAGTGACCAAACCAGTGGAATTTCTGCTGAGGTGCTCATCACCTCTGGGCCCTTGGTAGGGAGGCAGGTGCTGGGACTCACAAGTAAACACTTGTCTATTTGATCTAGGATTGCTCACCAGAACAACTAGCTATGCAAAAGAAAAGAAGACTGGGAAGACAGCAGGAGTCCAGGGACACTGAGGGTCTGGTAGTCCAATACCAAATTCATAAAAAGGAAAACTTAGATTAAAATCCAGATGAAGATGCTTGGGCAAGCACCTTGATATTCTATTCCCAGTGTCTGTCTGCTTGTCTGCCAGTCAGTTCTATAAACATATAGCACTCACCTCTCCACATTTTTAAGTTGTACATTGGGGACTGTGTTAAACTTGTGCTTTTTGAAATAGGCTTCCTAGAAAGAAACAGAAGAACAAAAACATATTTAGGAATCCTCATTTAGGCAAGTTAATTTAAGTTTCCACTTATTCCTCGGGAACTCTTATTAGGCTTCTTAGTGTCCTCAAGCTAGACGGGAAATGAAAAATAGGAGTTCATGAACAAACCAGCCTAAAAATATGCGCTGCCTAGCTAGATCTTACCAAAATTGATCTTCCTCATGTTCTGCTTCAGAAAAGGAGAAACCAAGATCCTCTAGTTTGCATAAGATAACTAAGAGGGTTTTCTCCTGTTGCGTTGGTAAAAATTAATACATCCACATAAGTTAATGTGCATAGATCATTAAACACGTGCCTCTACCTTTTCCAAACTAAAGCTGTGGTTGGGAAACTTAAGTTTCTTCTGAAAAGCAGGGCAACACTAATCAGTGGATGATGCTCCTCTTTCTGTTGCAGCCTCTGTTACACGTGTACAGGTAATGACCTCCAGGAGAAAAAGCTAACATTTTATGCTACAAGGAATGGAACCAGAAGCAAAATCAAGGTAGTTGTGGTGGCCAGACAGGAAGACCAGTGCATCCTTGTTTTCTAGAGTCAGGCCCATGCGTGCCACTCACATGGAAGTAGCCATTCATGTTGAGGCCAACAATGCCAAAGTGGTATGAACGTGACACATCAGGGATGAGGCATTCACGGCCTTTCCGTTGCTCTGGCATTCGCATCCACATATCCCAGTCCCAGAGCTGAGGGGAGAAAGCAGAAAACAGCATGAGCTACTTTTCTGTGAGTAACCTATTTTAGTAGGGTGGCTGAAAGTGACAGAATGAGACAAGCAGGCACTTCCAGATCTATGCAAACCGTGATGGATGTGAGGTCAAGACTTCTCCCCCCGCCCTTTTTCCATCCAACATGTGTTAGAAGATGTCCACAATTGTTACGATACAAAACACAATACCACACCATGAGGGCAGTATTCACAGCCACTCAATGGTATCATTGTGGATTGTTTCCCTGGATACATTTGGCAATAAGAACTCTTGGCCTTGTTCCAGAAGGAAAGTCAAAACAGATGAGACACTAACCTTCTCTGGTGTCGGCCATTTTGGCTCTAACTCATCCTTGTAGAGAGATTTCCTCAACACCCAGCCCAGGCCTGGCATTGTCTCCACACGATACAAGAGTGAAGGGTCTTCGGCCGTGTGCTCATAACCCTAATTGCCACAAAGAGAAACATTTAAGACACTTTCCCCATCAGGAAGCATGTTGTTCAGTCTTTCATCCTGATTTTAAGGGGGAGTAGGTGAACACAGCCCAGATGTTACTCTTTCTGGACTACAAGTCTCTGAATCTCCAACCCACCTTGATTACTGGCTATGCTGCTTGTGGGACACAGAGTTGTAGTTCAAGAACACTCTTTCCCAAGTTTGGTGAGAGGAGAGTTATTCTGAGCACAGAATAAGAGAATGAAGGACAAGAGGCAGACTGTTGGAATAAGACCAAGTAAGGAAGAACTCAAGACACAGACACATTGACTGACCTGGTCATTCCAGGCAGAGATACAATACAGGCTTTCATCTTCTTCCAGCAAATGGACAGATTGACTTAAGAAGCTAAAGGGGGAAAAGATCTGTTGGAGGAAATATTGTTGACACCATCCTATTCTAGACTTATGACAGTGATTTTCTGATCACACAAAGATTGGTGGCATTACTTCTCAACTTCCCATCCTACTTTTTCCAGTGGTATTGCTTTTGCATAGACAACCGGTCAGATTAAACAGAGACAGGATGGGAGATCCTTATGGGACAGACAAAATGGGAGAGGTTGAGCTTAGAATGTAGACCCAATACCTAAAGAAGTCAATGGAGATGTCCAGGTCTTCTTCCAGCACCACAGCAAGTGTGGCTTCCTAAAAGAAAGAGGGCAAGAGAACAAGAGATGAAATGAATGAGAACAGTAAGAACTATGGGCAGTGGTCTTAACTAGAGGTGTGAGATCTGAGTTTTTAGACTAGAACTCCCCATATTCTGCAAGCAGCTATGGGGAATTCTGGTAGGGATTTTGGGAGTCATAGCTCAAAAATACCAATCTGTACAACTCTGGTTCTCATATCAGTGAGGCAGGCAATTTTAGAAAAAAAGGTAATCAAAACAACAGCTTCATTTCAATTCAGAACTCTGTTTCCCTTTATCACACCTCGTAGTTTTTTAAAAACCATTACCATATAATAATTGTGCCCCATTTCCAGCATTTCAATGAGCTACCAAATGGCTTTTAAAAGAAACAATATGTCTTAGTGCATGTGTTTTATTATTTACTAACAACAAAAATAACAAAAGAGACTTTACCAGCTTGAGTCTCATTGTAAGGGAATTAATTAGCATTTTTCCTTCCAGTTCACAGAACATATTCCACAACAACTGCACAAAACAGTCAAATCTAAGTGAATACTCTCCAAATCTGAATGAACAGGTGACACTCAGAGTGGGCAAAGACATATGGGAGATGAACAGGGGGTAGACTACATACCGGATGCAAGTTAAATGTTGCAGTCAAACTGGCCTTATAGTGCTGTGAAGGGAGAAAATCCTGTTACCTTTTTGTTCCCAGCATATCAGGAATCAGGAGTTAGTAGTGAATACCTAATGACATTTTGTCAATAATTTCTTGGATCAAGATGGTTACCAATAAAGAAGAACTAACACAAATCAGCAAAGCCTACAAAGCCATAAAATTCAAGGCATGTAGAAAGACATACACATTCATCACATAACCAGAAACAGCAAGTACAGATCATTACAGCTGATCACTTAAGGGAATATAAATGGGAACAGTAGCGCAAGAAGAAAAAGAATGTCATGCTTGAAGAAAACTGACTTGTTTATAGCCCATCATGGTACAGAGCAGCTGCATCCGAAGTCAGTATAGCTATGATGGCACCCAACCTCCAGTAGGAATGGAACATGTAGTAGCATTAAGTTATCTACTGCCTTATAGAACACGTCTGTGGTGTATCTCTTTCCCAACATGAGTCTGGCCCACCCAGAATGGTAACATGCAAATACTGCACGTTGCCTTTCTTCCAGAGGCACAGCACAAGACATGTATGGCAAAAATCCTATTAAAGGAAAAGTGTGTGCCCAATAATTCTACAAATGATTTTCCCTTTTGCTAGTTATCCAGCAATTGATTGAGCAGCTAGGAAATGACCAGGAACTTAATGAATGGCCTACAAAATAGGCAAACGTCTGCGCAATTACCTCATTGCACAAGGCAACAGGGTCTTGGCTTTAGTGTTTCAAATCTAGAACACTGTGTTGCTAGTACACACACAGAATCCTTGAAAAAAAGACTTTCATGTTCGAGGCAAAGATTGTTACACACTGCAGCAGCATGCTGCTCTTCAGTGCAGTTATTTAGGGTAGCCATTATAAACTCCCATTTTTAATAGGACCATAGTTCAGAGGGATGGGATGTGGTGGCGCTGTGGGTTAAACCGCAGAAGCCCCTGTGCTGCAAGGTCAGAAACCAAGCAGTCACAAGATCGAATCCACACGACGGAGTGAGCTCCTGTCGCTTGTCCCAGCTCCTGCCAACCTAGCAGTTTGAAAGCATGTAAAAATGCAAGTAGATAAATAGGTACCACCTCAGTGGGAAGGTAATGGTGTTCTGTGTCTAGTCGCGCTGGCCACGTGACCACGGAAAACTGTCTATGGACAAATACTGGCTCTACGGCTTGGCAATGGGGATGAGCACTGCGCCCTAGAGTCGGACAGGACTGGACTAAATGTCAAGGGGAACCTTTACCTTTTACTAGTTCAGAGGGACTGGAATCCAAGCATGGTAGCTGCTACAAGACATTCGTAAAGAGAAAAAGGGTCTCTCACCTGTGAGACTCTGGCATTTTTAATGCTGATGGGTGTGTGCTGGATTCCTTTCAGGCCAAATAACTCGACAACATCCATTGGTTCCTGGGGAAAAAAAGACAATTTAAGATACAGCACATTTTTTAGTTGCCACCAGAAAAAAGAATTAATAATGCACTTCAAATGAACATTATCACAGAGATAACAAAGAAATGTCACCGACGCAAAACAAATGGTGGTTATCAAAAGTAAATGATTGCCCTATATTTCACCCAAAAGTATGTAACTCTAAGGAACTGAGAATGGTGAAGAAGCTGCTTAGAGACAAAAAATGTTGAGTATCTCTTTTTAGTTAGTCAGGGTTGGTTTAGTTGTAAACTGGATAGCAATGGATCTGTAGGGAGTTGTAGGGGATTCAATCAACTCACTGGCTTTCTATTTCTGAATCTGTTAGACAGACATAAGAAAACCAACATGACAGAGGAATAAATTACACTCAATGAAATACAAAGCACATTACCCAATTAGTTATCTCAAGCCTTTGCATGGAGCACAGGCGGTTGCTTGAGGTACTGCCCATTTTTTTACCTCACCCATTTTGTAAGTGGATAGTCTGTTTCAGATTCTTTTAGATACATCACAGTGCATGCAGCTAACTTCATTTAACTTCATTTCCTAAAGCTCAGTGCTTCAGTTCTTGACACAACCATTATTCAAATGGGTGGCCCATGTACTGTATTATGATTCCACCTTCTGTGAGGCTAACAGCATGAAAGTTCATTGCAAATTTTTCCTCATAATATCCATCAATAAAGTTCATTGCAAATTTTACCTCATAATATCCATCAATAAAGACTGTTATCATTTGAGGATTGACTCCTTGTGCTGAAAGAAGGGACCTCAGCATCCTACAAGAGAAAGAAAGCCCACAGATTTGATGCCTCTCATTGGACACTAATCTAATTTTGACCATATAAGCATTATTAACATCTTGCCTCATTTTAAGTATTATACACAAGAACATTTTGTACCTGCTAAAGATTTTCCCATCATATAAGTTTTTTTTAAAGAAAACAACAACAACACCAGTGGCTCTTAGTACTTGTTCATACAAACAAGAATCACCAAATCAAAAAGTTTGTAGATGGGATGGGGGGAATGCAAGGTCTTAGGAAGATATATTTTTTAAAAAGGAAAGAGATCCTTTCCAGTTGGAAGGGTAACTAGTGGTCTGAATATGTGTTAGGGAAGGGCTCAGCTCTAAGTGGCATGATGACCTCCCTGCTTAGATCAGGGAGGTCTAAGCACCATCCATAGATCTGGATGGTGGCACCACCCAGATCTAACCAATCACTCAACCTTGGTATTGTGTGCATCTTTCCTGAGCAACCTGAGATAGGTCAAGGAAATTCTCCTACTCTCCATTGTTTTTCTTTCATGGTATTTTTTTAGATCTGTAGGCATGGACTATCTTGACCAACATAAACAAAAAGCAGTTCTCAACATCTCTGGAATTGATAACCATACTTTAAAAATGCTTGAAAGTGTGGGATGGAATATGAATGACTTAAGTTACAGATGGCTTTGGTGTATCATTATGCTGATGCTTCTAGAAAAGTGAGGAGCTCTGTATCAAAGCTCTGATTTAAACAAACAAACAAAAAGGGGGGAACAGTAGCTAAGGTTCACAAGATGCCAAAACTAAAGGGTACTATTCTGCGAAGTCTGTGCTGTGCTACCACTGCCGTACCCCCTTGCCAAAAAAAATATGCTTATGATGACATGAACAGTTTGGGACCTCAATATTTGGCAGATCGTCTTCTCCCACCCAGATCTACCTGAATCACCCGACATAGCCAGCAGGGATGGCTGACGGACCTGACGCCGAGGGAGGCACGGAAGGAAAAAACAAGAAACTGGGGCTTCTCGGTGGTGGCCCCTCGGCTGTGGAACTCCCTCCCAACTAAAATTTGGCTGGCACCCTCGCTGGGTGTATTCAAAAGCCAGTTAAAAACTTGGCTATTCAAGCAGGCCTTCCTTCCAGTCAATTAAGTGATTCTTATTCTTTCTCTTTTCTCCTTGAATCATGCCATCTTGGTACTGTGCTATTCGGAACTAACTATAATTGTGTCTTTGATGATTTTATATATGTCTTACTTTTGTGTTTTTATCCATGTAAGCCACCCCAAGTAGACACTGTCTAGAGGGGCGGGGTAAAAATCGAATAAATAAATAAATGAAGCCGGAAGATATCCAAATATTAAATCTTTACTGCCCAACAAAATGAAGAGTTTTCCAAGAAGAACTTGAAACAGTTTGCTTGGTGCGGGAAACCACGGCTTTCTACCATGCCAGTCGAGTTAAGCCTATTCCAACACTGACCTGTACAGGTAGTTGGGTCTGTTCCCTGCGATGACAGCAACAGGCACATTTAAAACCTTGTTGTCTTTGAGCTAGAAGAGAAAGGATAATCAAGAATCTCAGGGCAATGGAATAAACACAAAGCCCATGCCCTCCCTCCCTGCCCCCCCGCACTGAATGTCATTTCTGGGGGGGGGGGGAAGGAGGCACTGTTGTGCATTTTATTTTATCACTTTTTATCATATCTCCTCTTTCCTCCAGTAACCTTAAGGCAGTGCACATGGCTTCCCTCTTTTTCGCTTCCTCTGTACAACAGCCATGTGAGGCTATCAGAGTGTGATTGGCCCCAAATCAACCTGCCCGTTTCACCGCTCAGTGGGAACAAGAACCTGAGCACCCCACAGATCCAGCCCTCTCAGCCGTACGCCGCTCTGGCTCTGTGCCAAGGCTAGTCATAGATGAAGCACTTTTACTCAGATATAACTATTCTGAAAATGGAAACTTCCCCAATTTTATTCGAAGAGCGTTTTGTGTCTCTCAGTTCTAAAATGGAGCAGATGACTTTAGGCCAATGACACTTTCTCCCTTGGCCTACTTCACAAGGTGGTTAGATGGATAAAGCGGAGATGAGGAAGCCTCCAGTCATCAGAGGAAGTCATTATTGTCATCATGTGTTGTCAAGTCCATTCTGACTTTTGGCAATGCTTGCCAGGGTCTTTTTTTAGCTGCAGAGTACACTGAGAAGTGGTTTACCAATTCCCTTCTTCTGAGCTTGCTCAAGACCAGAGGCTGGTTTTCTTCCTACTATAAGGCACAGTGGGAAATCAAACTCCCAACCCTGGCTCTGCACTCAGGTACCCTTTCTCATCCAGCCAACTCCACCAAAGGAAAGGCAGGATATAAATGTGACACTCAACAAATAACTTGAGGCTTAGGCAAGCAAGCAGAGGGTGAAGGAGATATCCTTCTGAAAACTGAAGCTGAGGCAGAAGAGGAGATGAACAAAACATGGACTGGCCATTGCCAGATAACCAGAGCATTGCCAGGAGCTCCAGCATCCAGGCATACATATGAGGAGTCTTGTCTCAAAATATAGAATCCTGATAGCACATTCGATGGGATTGATTCGAGACACTTTGGTGCCTAAGGCATGGCAGTGAATGCTGCCTCCAAACCACCTAAATTAAGGTATATAGGGTCTAAAGCTAGCCATGCTTATTTTGGCACATGACGCAGAAAATTCACAAACACACTTTTATCAGGGCCATCCTGGCCATTTAAATAACCAATTTGCTATCTTTTTGCAACATCTAAATTCTAAAGCACCCTGTTTAATGGCAGGGCTGGCTCAACATTTTGGTAACTGTTAACTCATGACTTAATAAGCCACACCTCACACCTGCTGCCGGTTGCTTACAGCTGGTTTCTCAGCTGTTCAGAACACTTTGGGGCATTCACTTTTGGAAAAGGTTTTGAGGGGGAGCTATCCTGGAGGTTTACTCACCGGGTCAGGGTTGAACTCTATAGGTGTGGGATCTTTACAGCTGCAGACACTACCATAACCTTCCACTTTACTACAGAAGCGCTTCCGGCGTCGGTTCAGCTCTGTATCTGGCCAGTGGCATTCTGCATCTGCCAGTACAATGGAAAGGTCAGCTGAAGGCATGAGGGAGTTCTGAAACAAGCAGCTCATTCTGCGCCAGATTCGCATCATTGCAGAATACAGCAGTCAAAGGTCCAGTGGAATACAGCAAATGGTCTACTGGTCTCACATTGCTACACTTACCTCAAGGTGAAACAAAAGCAGCAAAAAAATATTTTCCTACAAGACACTGAAACGGCTGACTAAAGGGAATCTACATTCAAAAGCTCTATCAAGCCTATCTCTACTACAGGCCTAGCACTCTTCTGTAACAATGAATTTAAAAGATTATTTCATTGACAGAGATGTTCCCTGCTTCTCTCTTTTGACTTAAACCTATGGCATGAGGTTTACTGCTTGAATATCACAAAACTCTGACATAAACATTTCTATCACTCTTTCACTGAGCTATTATGACCTAAGGTTTTGATTTGTTATTTCACTTCTCAATTGTCAATCTCTTAATTCTAAAATTCTTTCCTTACTGTGCCTTTTGCTCCACAACAAGGCTTTTCTAGAACCGCAGGGTCCCTCGGGAAGAAACACCATAGCACAGTCTACCTCCTACAAGTAGTTCTACCTTCTACAGAGGTCAGTTGAACTTCCGTTTTCAGCAGGACTGGCTCTCCCCACGAGGAAAGCAATGGGGACTTGGCATGTTTTTCACCATAGACCTCACCTGCAGAGAAGAAAATACATCAGAAGCAACAGACACTTGATGACCACTCACTTCTCATGTCTGACCACTGCCAACTTAGAGGCGAATCTTGCTAGATGAACCATACTCAATAATGTAACCAGGTACAGACTCTTATTGGATACATTTAGCCTTTTGTTAAAGGGCAGTGTGGGTAGTGTGAGAAGATGATACAGACAACGGAGGCACCTCCACATCTGAATGCTGCATAGAAGAGAGAATGCTGGTAGGCAGGACTGCCCCCGCTCCCCCCACAGCATGGATGCAAAAAAGCTGTAGCCACCAAAGTGTTCTTTTGATATACTTCATTATTAGAAATACAAGAATTCCATGGTGTGTTTCCCTATGCCAGACATATGAGCATCAAACAGCTAGTACAGAAGACAAGTATAAACCTCTGTCTAACCAGCCTTTTCCAACATTACAGCCTCTGACCCATCAGGCCCTGCTTGCTTGCTTTTCCCTGGAGATTTGTGCCAATACCAGATTCTCACCTCCTTTCTTCCCCACAAAGGCCCACATGTCTCTCCAGCTGAGGGAAGCAGCAATCTGGCTCCCTAAACTCTTCAGGAGACTCTTTGCTGTGTCTTTCAGGTGGAAAGAACCCTCATCCTGAAAAAACAAAAACAAAAGAGAGAGTGCAATAATAAACATAGGGTATTTTCCTCAAGTTTCTGAAATACTTTTCATTCTTTTTTAGTAACAAAACCACATTCAGATTTGACCCCCAAGACAACACTGAAAATGCCAAAATAGGTTTGATGTGTTAGTTCAGAAAGCTACATGTGACAATATTTCTGAGGTCTGGAGCATATTACAGGTCCTGAGGTATCCCATATCCCAGTCAAATTTTTAAAAAGCATTCAAATTGTGTGTTGCAGAAATGAAGCACTACTTGGGCCCTTCTAGACTGTGTACAGACAAGGCAGGAATGCATGGAGCCCTTGTTTTACGTTTAAGGAAGTGGGGGAAGATGGAGAACAGAAGGATAGTATGGGAGAGCAGAAAATTAAATGATGAAACGCAGAGAGAAGTGTTACATTTCACATTCCTTTAAAAGGAGGGGGAAAGCCACAAGGTCTTCTATTTTCATAGGAAAAAGGTCACAATTCTGATTGCCACCTACCTTAATTGTGAAGATAAGGATGCGTCCTTTGGCTACCATGTTGAGGAAAAGGACCATGGCTTCGTCCTCATGTGGAGAATAGGTGTCAAAAACCCGCTTTGCCATAACATGCCCCTATTAAGCATTTAGACGGACAGAGACCAAGTGCATTAGACAATGGCCATATAGCAGGGGGATATCTTCACCTGGTACATAAAACCATGTTCTTCATAGTACTTGTGGTCCTCAATGGACATTCTTGGGAGTCCACAAGAACCCCCTCTATTCCCACAGACAAAGCATTGTTGGTGAGTTTCTGCTCCTGGGAGGTCCCCAAGAGCAGCACATTCCATTTTTTTTAGGGGTCTGGGGGTCCCCCCGTTCCAAACAGAAGTGCCCTGGCCTGGAACGTCTGGTAAAAAATGGCAATTTGGGCTTTGTGTGGCCTATAAAGGGAAATGGAGGCACACATTTGCCGCTGCGCCTCCCCCACCCCCAATACCATTGAGCTTGCCTGTAAAATTTATAAACACAGCTTGGTGCTTCAGCAAACCTCCTGATGTTCATCAACCTCTGGAGGGCCACGTTTGCCACTTCAAACCATTATAAATATTTTATGTCTAGCTTTCTGGGAGTGGGGGAACACAGTATGCACTCTTTCTTTGCGTCAATATATAGGTTGTTTCCCAATCACTTACCGTAGCCTGGTTTAACACAATTACATGGATGCCTCTGCCTTGCTCCCGGGCTTCATCTTCCAAAACCTGTACGATGAAAAAAGCAAATGCGATAAGGCACACCTTCAACATGCAGAAGGTTCCTTTTAGCAACTTTTCTCAGCAGGTGCCAAATCCAAAGATTGCTACAGGAACTGGGCTTTTATCTTGCCTCTCTTGCTGAAGGCAATAGTTTAGAAGATAGTATGTTTCAGCACCAAAGAACTTGAAAGCAAAGATGCATGAACACCATCAGGTAATAGTCATTGGTTTGAAAGAAGAAGAAGACAACACCCATAAGACAGAAGAAGTTGGTAAAATATAACCATAAGCACAATATTTTAAGAATGGAATCCTAGGCATAAATGCTAGACAATAGATAAATTAATGAGTTAAAACCACTTTTAGTCCTAGTTAGAATAAAGCTACTGCAACAACCAGAATCTGAAAGTCAAAAACAATGTAAGTTTCATTTATTTCAACGAGTCTTCTCTATTTGGGAGTAAAATCAGATCATGTACAATTTAACATCCAAGTAAATACTCATAGGAATATACAGGAACAGCCTCTCAGCTTGCAAATAGTATTTTGCCTTAAAGCAAAACATATGAAAATTTATTGTTGTGTTGCTTATTCCATCTCCCTTTCTAGCATCAGCAAAAGCCCTCACCGTTGTACCATCCACTGCCACGTAGACCTTGGAGCGGCTGGAGTAAACTTCAATGTCCAGAACTTTCCTACTATGGACAGGCCGTCGTGGGATTTCCAGGTTCTGCAAACCTTCATCTAAGAAAAGAGAGAGAACACTATGTACTTCAAGCATCTTAACAAGTCCTCCCATAGTCCAATAATCTTTTGAATTATACTACACGTATCAAAGTTAAATAAAAAAAGCAAAGCATGCTGCTTACATATCACACCATAGTAACTAAAGCACTTCTGGGCAGTTTACAGTTTAATTATGCCCCTGCCCCCAGCTGAGTACTCAATTTACTGACTTGAGCTGGCTACCCTGGGATTGGATGTGGGTGTTATTGCTACTTGGGGCAGCCTTTCCCAACCTAGCTGACTCCACATGTGGAATTATGGGATTTGCAGCCCAAAACATCTGGAGAGGACTAGGCTAGACAACAATTCCCAGAAGACTGACACTTGTTTTACAGTAGTCATGGGCAAAGCGCACCCCTACTGGTTGTTGTAGGACTCTAACTTCTGGTTACGTAGGGAAGTCTTCTATCTGGAGGACTACATGTCCACCCATTTGAGAGGATGGCCTTAACAGCTGTAAAGGACATTCTGTTATCATCACTGGACTCACCATAATCTTGGGCAGAGTCTTCCTCTTCGCTGGCTGCTCTTCTAGTATCCAAGATCAGCTTTATGTTGACTATGACAGTCACCAGCAAGAAGAGAACAGCTCCCATCTGCAAGGGGAAAGCTTCCATATCAGACAAAAAAAATGGCAAAGTGTTGGGAATCTGATGCTTTACATCCTTGTGTTTCGAAAGATGCTGCAAACAGTACCAAAATTTACATTTTACTGCAGCATGGGTATTCTGTAGAACACAGATTCCAAGATGCTGCAATGGGCAAACAGGAATGCTCTCACATTCTCTTTTGCTATACACTTCCCTTTACTCTTTGCTGGGGAACACTGAGAACTTACCTCCTAATGTCCACAATAGAGAAGAGATTATGGGGAATCACTGTTGTTTTTTTATTTTTTTCCAATTTTGGTCAGAACTGAACTGCTGGCATTTGGAGATGGAAATCAGGTCAGGGTCAGTGTTGTGTGCCACAAACACAGCATGGCCTTCAGCATGTGATAATGGCCATACTGTCAAGGGGCACACAATTCTTACAATTAACCTCATTCAGGAGGATTCTGAACATTAGCTTTGAAAGAGACAGCACACAAAGCATGTTTTTGACATTTAGATCCTGCAAATATATCTGCCAGCTAGCCTGGGCTCCAAACAACTGCTTGCTTCGTAATTCCAGACCTCTTTGCTCCAGCACAAGGGGAAAAACAGCTGTTCCTACTAATAATCTCCAGTCCATGTTGTCTACAGCACTGGATAGACAAGCTGAAGTGCTTTGGGTAACAATAGCAAATGCAAATGCTTATTGCAATCTCAAGGGAAATTTAAAGACAGACAAACACATGCCCAACCTCTGCACAGTCAGCACCTCTTAAATTAGGGTAGGGAACTATTTATGTGGCTGCAATCACAGCAGGCAGCTCACAATAGAGCATTCCAGGACAAGACGTGGCAGTGACGTACTCTATGGATCTGTACTTAATAGCATGGCCTTTTGCAATACAAAATCAATTGGCTGCTGACATGACATTAGCTCAACATAAACGAAAAGCTGATTTCAGGCCAGTAAAAATCAGCAGCTGGTTAAGAATCTGGAACCACTATATCTGCATAAACCCCAGCAAGGCTACTTCTAGCAACCAAAATCTGTACCTTTTCTTATGTGTGCAACAAAGTCTTGCTTAACATGTCTGTGCAATATCATTCAATAGAGAGCTTATGAAATTGCTAGCATGTATGTCTTTTTTCTCTCCTTAGAAATAAGAGCCCAAATGCACTCGCGAAGCTTTACTTGTAACATTGAAAATCTCTCGTCCTCACACCTGCTGTGCACTTGTTCTCCCACAAAAATGAAGTTCCTGGGGCTCTGTCAGTAGCCCTAGGGCTAGACTATGGGTCATCAAGACCCCTGCTGGACTGTGGACTGATGTAAAGTGGGCTGTAACAGCACCACCACCATGTAAACTTATAAAACGGGGTGTCCAAATACTTGAGCTCAAGACATAATTTAAAGACTATTACACTTTGACAACAAATGTACAGTCCTTCATTCCTGATATACTTACCCAGACACCTGAGACTATCCATGACAGCAAAATGTCTATACTGTACCCTAAAGCAAATTTCTAGGCCACAAGGTTTAAGCTTGAAACCACATATATCAGAAGTGGAAATTGTCAAGGTCAGAAAAACATGGGCAAAATGCAGAAGCCCGATTTTCTCTAAACCTGACTCCAGAAGAACCATACTGGATTGGACCAAGGGCCTATTTATTCTTCTGTTTCTGCACCGGATAAACTCATGCCTTTGAAAAATCTAACAACAAGACCCAGGTATGATAGCAGCCCTACACATAAACAAGCATGCTCCCCAGCAACAGATGCGGAGACATAATGCCTGTCATACTGGAGGGAATATAGCTAGTAGCCACTGATAGCCTTGTATTTCTCTTTAGGGAGGGAGAAGAAAACCCCTCAAACACCATAACTGCCTCCAGTCAGTTGGGTAATGGATAGAGAGAAGGGCAGAGAAAAAAGGGAACAACATGGAAAGGTAGAAAGGTAGACTGCTTGGTTAGAAAAGCTGCAGAGCAGTGCAGAATTTCTTGCACAATTGCAATTTTATATAGACTTTGCTTAGAATTTACATGCTTCAGTTACATGACGTTATGCTGCCCTGTATAAGAACCCAGTCTCTTTCAAGTATTTAAATTTAAGCCTATTCAACAGCAGCTTATGTAATTGTATTTTCAGAAGAACAATTACATTAGCTTGTTGCAACAATCTTGTGACGCCTTAAAGATTGCATGTTTTATTTCGTTTAACTGTCAATGAACTGTAGTCTGCTTCCCAACTTGATTTTACTTCTCAGTATTATTATTTTTTAAATCACAACTGTCTCAGCTGTCTGTGGGCAAAACATTCCGGACACCCACACAGCCCTTAATTCAGACCCTGAGGTAGTTCCCCAGTGGCTACAACACTTTTTAGTTCTCAAAACAGAGCAACACTTTGTACTGATATTCTGATTGTCCAACAGCCAAAACATGCCTTTCAGATTTCAGGTTCATCTTAATGGAACCGATCACATCCCCACCAATACTTCCATTACATTATTATGGATCTGTGCTCTGCAAGGGATGTTATATTGTAGTAACATGTACAATGGTGTTATAACGCTCAACCCTCTGATGATGCAAGAATAGAGGGCAATGTGGGTTTCTATGGGAACCTGAACTTCAAGAGCCCTATCTGTGTGCAATTAAGGTGTCAGCTTTCCCCACAACATTGACAGCTTTGTATTAAACTTGCTATTCTGAGACATGGGATCCAGACAAGATATTGAAATCTTTTGTCATGTTCTCTCTTCCTTATATTTTTTTTTCATTTCTTTTGAAAGACAGACAGATGAATTGCTTTTTAGTACAGTATCAGAATCACAGAACTATAGAGCTTGAAGGGATCCCAAAAGTAATCACCCCCCCCAGTGCAGAAATCCATAGCTAAAATATCCGTTTGGTGGCACAATCCTAATCCTACTTGAAAATCTCCAGTGAAGGAGAGTCCACCACTCTCTGAGGCAGTTGATTCAATTGTTAAATGGGTCTCATTATTAGGAAGTTCTTTCTAATGTTTAGCCAAAATCTCCTTTCCTGTAACTCATATCTATTGCTTCTGGATCTATCTTACTGTGCACAAAAAAATATGTCTACTCCATCTTCCATGTGACACAGCCTGCCAAATACTTAAAGACGGCTATCACATTGCCTCCCAGACTTCTCTTTTCCAGGCTAAACATATGAAGTTATCTCAACCTTTCCTCAGGCGGCTTGTTTCTAAATTTGTTTCCATTCTGCTTGCCCTCCTTTGGACATGTAACCCCTTCTGAATATCCCACTTTAACTGTGGTATCCAGAGCAGGACACTTTTCTCCAATTTGCTCATGTACATCATGAGCAGAACTGAACTGAGGAGTCTGTCAGGAGACAGGTATCTAGTTGTGTGCTCCCAGAGGCATCTGGTGGGGTCACTGTGAGATACAGGAAGCTGGACTAGATGGGCCCTTGGTCTGATCCAGCAGGGCTCTTCTTATGTTCTTACGTATTTCTTTTAGAATGCCTTTATGCATGCCATGCTTTCCTGTAACCTTGTTACTATCCTGTTGGGAGATTAAGAGATTTGTTTACAAAGAAACCTGTGGTGTGCAAGAAGAGGGTACCTTCCTAATAAATCCATCAGTTCAAGATTCCCTTTGGCACCCAAGACGAATTCAAGTGGGAGGCACATAGAGACACTAAAAGGCCTGAAATCCATCCAGAATTATATAAAGACTAGGTGCATGGCTGCTGTGGTATCATGCACACAAATTTCCATGTGATTCTGAAAGGGCTGGAACCCTATTTTGCCTTCGGAGATAATCTGTATTTTCTTCTTGGCACAGTTTTACTTAGCAAGTCTGTAAACTCCAAGTTTAGTCCTAACAAGATAGACCCACTGAATCAATGGTCATTTGGTAGGCCAACACTTTGTTGCACTGAGTCAGTGTGTTTACTCTAATAGGGAGCAACAACTGGACTTCCGTGTTTGAATGGACTGGCAATTAAAGATGCATCAACTAATGGCATTGTGCAATAAGGTAACTCAAGGTTATGCCCATGTCTCCCCTCCTTCTTACCATATCCTTACAACAACCCTATGAGTTAAACTGGGCTGAGAGAAGATAACTGGCCCAGGATCACCCACAGTAAGTTTTACAGCTCACTGAGGACATGAACTAGGATTTTCTGCATGCCTGTCTAATACTCTAACAACTACAGCACTGCCGGCTTCCTGTCCCCTTCCACCTTTAATAGAAAGTCCTATCAGTCCAATCATGTCTCTAGAAATTATCTGATTCCTTTTTTTTAAACTTCACCCAATACACTACCGCCACTTTTCATTTTGCCATCTGCTTCCCAACCTGTAAGAAAATGAATTGAAGAGAAAAACTGCTTTCCTTCTTTGCAAATGTTCAAAGGCTTCTATTTGTTTGCATTTCAGTAGCAATCTGCTATCATATAAAAAGATATCTTCTATGAGCCATGCTACAGGGAACAGAGCACCAATTAGTGCATCTAAAAATATATGGGAAAAATAATTAAACAGAAGCATTGCAAAGAGCCACAATCCAGCATATGTGAATCTGCTTCTAGAGGCTACAGTGCCTCTGTTTCAGTTCTTCAACGAAGCCCATTCAATGCCATGGGCAAAAGGAAAGAAATACAAACCAATGTGTTTTGGGGTGTGGCAGAAAGGTTTACATGAGTCCTTCTAAAAAAATACCTGGATTTACAGATTGTGGGGCTGCTTGTGGGCTGAATACTGCCTGCAGACTGAAAAATCTCCTCTCCTACTTAAAGACCAACAGCTTAAAGCTAGAACTGCTGGACAGCTCAGTGGTTTAGGCGGTTGACTGCAGAGCCAGAGGTTGGAAGTTTGATTCCCCCACTGTGCGTTCTTGACAGGGGGTGGACTCGATAATCCGTAGGGTCCCTCCCAGTTCTGCAATTCTAAGATTATTATTATTATTATAGAACATACACTTTGCATGACAAATGTCCTTGGTTCTAACTATGGCAGATATAGTGAAAGGAATAGGTAATATGTGATTGCAAACGCCTTCTGCCAAGGACAACAGAGTCAGTCTGAGAGAGAATCTGAATACAGACAACATTGGGCTAGAGGGAGTTTGAGATGGTTCCAGACAGCATACACAGAGGTTTCTTCATGGAATCGCATAAATGATTCTGCTCTTTAGTTACAACTTTAAAAGCATTTGAGTCCGCAACTGTGTATTGGACTGCTGAGTTTGGGAAACTTGGGCTGAAATCCCATTTTACCCATGATTTCAGACAGCCTTGGTTCAATCCCTGAGACTCCACTCCTACACTTACTGGCCCTCACTGAATGCAACAAGATCTGCTTTCAGAAACAAAACTGCATCACACATTTCCAGTCATTGTTTCCAAAACACACAAATAACCGAGATGAAGTAGTTAAAGCATATGCATGGTTATCAGAAGCCGTCGGTGAGAAGTGATAAACAGCCCTCGATTAATGTGTTGTTAAACTTTTTCTCCAAAATGCACACAACCAGCTTGTACAAAAGACTTAGGACACTAGATTAATGACACCAACTCAGAAAAGCACATTCACTTGTTTTGAGATTAGAACTATCCCATTGCACTTTGCTGATACATACTTAGCATACCACACATGTTCACAGACTTCATCCCTTTGTGATGAGAAGACTTCATTCTGCAAATAAACCAGTTTATCTGCAAACCATCATACAATGTGCAAGGTTACCTTTCTGGACTACATGCCAAAAGAGCTGACATGACAACTGGGGATTATGGGTGCTGTAGTGCAAAAGGTAACTTTGCCAATCCTATGGCAGAACCTACCTATTTCTTATTCTACCAAATAAATAATCACTTCATCTCCACCCCCCTTTCATTACACTGGCAAATGCTTTCAAACCTTTGAATATGAAGACTCCATAATGAGATGCATTTGAAGTCAATGATCTTCTCTGATCCCAACTAGTCATCAAGTCCAGCATCATGCCAGTAACAGGAGCAACGGGAACAATGGGCAGGATTGCTCTTACCTGACACAATCTCCTTAGGGCTCTCTGGTTCATCAGTTTGTACTTCCAGGCCAGGTACGAGCTGCGTTTCTTCCATGGCTTGGCTGGTGTGTTGGGTTTCCACTCATCCATCACAGAAGGGCAAATAGTCAGAAGTGGATGGCTGCATAAACTTACTCTCAGGATATGCTCTCCTCCAGCTGCATGTTACCCATCCAGTTGCACATAACCTGGTCAGGCATAAAAAGCAGAAGACATGGAAAGCCTGTAAGGCAAAAGGAGGTTATTCTGTTCTAGACGTCTGATGTCAAGGCAGTTCAAAAACTGCACAGCTTTAAAAAAGAAACCCAAGTGTGCAAAAATGTTTAATTTACATAATTCATTCTGGTTACAGCACTTAAGTATTAGCAAAATGGAATAGTTTGGCAAGGAATAGGCTAGAAGGAGGCAAGGCAGGGAATCCTTTGCCAGAGAGCATGAGACAAGAAGAAATAATGGACCATGGGAAGGTGGGCAGCCAAGCAGAGGAACAAAGCCTTCATCTGCCACTCAAAGCTTGTTTTGTTGATGACCACCAGTTGGGTTTTCCACATGACAATGCATAAAGTTGCAAAGGTCTTCAGAGATGCAGAAGGTTTTCTGCGAGTATTAAGTAATTTGGACAGTACAATAAGAAAGAAAAAGATTAGGATTATTTTAGAAAGAACAACAAAACGTAACCCAGTTCCCAGTACACACTAGTGCAGTGGTTCCTAACCTTGAGTAACCCAGGTGTTCTTGGACTGCAACTCCCAGAAGCCTTCACCACGAGCTGTGTGGGCTGGGGTTGCTGGGAGTTACAGTCCAAGAATACCTGGGTTACTCAAGGTTGGGAGCCACTGCACTAGAGGAAATAATATACCAACTCAGAGATTCATGTAGCTGGGCATTTAAAGAGTCATGATTTAGTCAGCAATCTATTTCTCAAACTGACTCATAATCTCAACACTTCTAATAAATAAGAAAATCCCTGTGTGAGCACCACCTGTCACTAAAAGACCAGAAGATTACTCAAAGATGCAAAAGCTGTTATGGACTTTTCATAATCTCATACTGACAAAATTGCACCCATGTCAGGACTTCACAATGCTAAGGACCAGGAAAGATGTCTGCCTCAACAGGAGAACACCTGGTAAAAGGTCCCAGGTTCAGGCTATCCCATTTCCAGGTTGACCTGGGAAGGACCCCAGCCCTAGTCCATGCCTACTACCTGACAGGGTCACACCCTGACACAAAGTACACAGCACTTTCTCATGGGAAGATGCTAGCCTCTCACATGCTTCCTGGCATGTTCTCTGATTGCATGTACTTAAAAACTGAGTTAATACAAAATGGGGTTGCAGTATGGACGCCATGGACTGCCAGAAATAAATTGTATTAACCTATAAATGGCTTCTACATCACCTCAAGTCTGAATCCTCACTGGAATCTGAAAAGGCTAAACTGATCCATCAGGGTCTGGAGGTATTATGAGAAAAGACGACTCACCAGAAGAGGTGACAGTGGTTGAAAGCAAGAGGGAAAGAGGAAGGCTGAATACAGATGGACTCAGTAAAGAAGACCACAGGATTTAGTTTGCAAGATCTGTGCAGGGTTGTTAATTCACAGGGTCGCCCTATGTCAGAAAGGATTTGTCTGCCCATGCCAATCCTGCGAAAGAGCTGGTCCTCGCCTTAGCACTGCAGGAATTGAGCTGGGAGAAGCTGATAGTAATCCTTTTACCGAGCTACCGCTCTTAAGCCCATTTACTTAGAACCAAGTCCTTAAAACAACAACAAGCCCTACTTCCAAGCAAGCATTATCAGAACCCCAGTCGAAGCCACGACTTAGCATCACCAAAAGCTAACGAACTAAATGGAGCAGAGGAAGGCTGGCGTGTCTGATGCACAACATGAAACCCAAGGAATTTCTCACACTCGCCATCAAACCCATTTCCAACACAAACCTCGAGGGAAAGCCAGTTTAACTCGGCGCTGCCTTCATCGAACTAAATACAGTATAATAACGCATTACGTGAGGGGCGGGGCGGCAGCAAGGAAACCGGCTGGGCAGAAGAGACTTAAAATAGATCTCATGCCGTTCAACGTGGGGAATAGGGAAGCCTGCCTGCGTGTTCCCCGGTCACCCCCACGGACGACCGGGGCGGACTGGCAGCCGCGTGAAATGAAACGAGTGAGGAAGGGGGTGACTCGCTCGCAGCCTCCCAAAAGGAAGCAAACCCACGGAAGGGGGGGCTGCGTTTTGAGACGGTTCGTAGTGCCTCCGAAAATGGGGTTTTCCCCCCTTTCTCCAAACGGATGGTCTCCCGGCGAGTCTGGCCACCTGCCACCGCAAAGAGCCACTTACTGCCTTTAAAGCGCGTCCAGACCGAAGCCCCCTTCTCCATAGCCAGGCGCCCGCACCGAACTCCGGCGGTTCCTAGGAGAGCTGCAAATCCCCTCTCCTTTTCTGACCACTAAACCGAGATCTTTCTCTCTCTCTCTGCGAGGCTGAAATTGACGTGCCTCCCTGCTTCCGGCGCGGGATATACGGCTCGAAGCCTCCTCTTAAAGGGGAACGGCTCCGGCAAAGGCGGCCAGCCGGGTCAGGAGGGGCTGGAAGAAGGGCGGAGCAGCGCCCGAGGAACCGGGAAGAGAGGCCTCTGTTTACTGGGCAAGAGGGAGAGGCAAGTAAGCGTTGTGCGCAGCGCGATTGGCTAATCTGGCTGTCAGTTAACGGACCCAGCCGCTCCCCCGAAGGAAGGGAAAGCGGTATGGAGGCCACCTGCTTGCCTCCGGGGAGGTCCGTTGGTTTCTCCTTCTCGCCTCGATGCGCGTCAGGTCGCCGGCTCGGGCCCTGGTTACGCTGCTCTTTGAGGTTGGAGCCGAGGGTAGTTGCGCAAAGATGGGCTCCAGGACGAGATGGGGGGGGGGGAAAGAAGGCCCCCCTCAGTGCGGAAGTGAGGGCTCGGTTTTGTATACACACGGAGTGGGACTGGGTGTGTGTGTGCGCAGTCCCTTGTGTGGTGATATGCCACACGCCGCCTGATCCCGAGATGGGTTTCCTGGGCACCTTTCCTGTGGAAGAAAACACGTGTCACGTCCCAGGGAAGAAAACACGTGTCACGTTGGCTGAAGACTCCGGTGTGACTTCGAAACCTTGCCCATTCCACCTTGTATCTCATTTGCTACATGTTTGTGGTGTGTGGCGAGGGGGTTATGAAAGATCTCCCAAAGGAAAAGAGAAACAAAAAAATAGCGACAGATTTCTCCCAGCCTGAAAAGGTTAGCCACACCGTATAAGACAGGGTGGTGAACATGTGGCCTCGCCTAGGTTGATGAAGCATTGCTCTGGACGTATGTTGCCATTGGACAGATTGAGTGCAGTTGGTGGAAACGAGTTCTGTCAAATCTAGAGAGCTGCAGGTTTCCTTGCCCTTTCGTGGAGCCTTGAGAACCTGGCCAGATGTGAGAACTTACTCAGATAATTGAAGAACAGAGGCAGCTGCACTGATAATAAATAAAATTCAAACACTGCATTAAGAAGATACATTTTAGGCCACATCCCTCCACACCAAAGGCAGGAAAAAGATGATAGGCACAGTGGAAGATGCTTAAACATCAAGAATATTCATCATTACAATTAGGACCTTTGTCTATTCTGGCTGTTTGTGTTTCCCATTACCAGCAGCCTGATTCCTTTAACCTAGATGTTGGCCCAGCGATCTTCTGCATCCAGAGAGCACATGCCAACATGTATCCTTCCAGTTTTTTTTAAAATTGTAGCTTCCAGTGTTCTTCATCTTTGGTTAGGATGGCTAGGGCAGGTGGGAGTTGCAGTTAAGTAATGTTCAGGGGGTCATATGCAATCATGGCCAAAAATATTGGCACCCTAAATTGCAGCTTCTACTGTTCTTCATATTGGCACCCTTGCAATTCTGTCAGAAAATGCAACTTTTCTCTCAGAAAATTGTTGCAGTTGCAAATGTTTTGGTACTCACATGTTCAATTCTTTGGTTTGCATTGGAACAACACACAAAAAACAGTATGTTACTGTATGAGACACCATCACATTTGGAGAAACGGGTGTGGTAAAGGCCACTGTCCTCAATTTGTTTTGTGTCTGATTGTTATTTAGCTTATTCTCTTGCCAAGTTCTAAAGTCTTTGAGTGTGGTCCTGACTACATTATGGGGTGGGGCCTAAGAGCAAATACGCAAAGCAAAAGATGATCTAAAAATAAAATAACTTTCTAAAGTGCACAAACTGGGATTGTATCAGAAACCCATTACTGTTCTCTCTCTCCTTTTATTTGATATAGGGTCTTATAAAGCCAGCATTAACAGGAGATGGACAAATATAGGATGCCTAGAATAATTTATATTCCTTATGCCCAAGGGAACCCTAAATGACCACTTCAGTTAACTGATGCAACATAAGCCCATGAAGACTGGCTGATATGGAGTGTGTGCGCAGTGATATCTCTCTGCCTTTTTGTTCACTAGAGCAGCCATTTTCAACCTTTTTCTCGGGACGGCCATGGAAACAATATGAAAAATATAGGCCAAATTAGGATTGTGTAACTCACATAATGAACCTGAGAAGGTGAGGTGTGAAGAATGGCTTCCAGCCTGTGTCCCACTTCAAATGTGTCAGGGACCCCAGAAGGTCATATGGCCCCTGTTGAGAATGGCTGCACTACAGAGGTGGGTACATCATTGCCAGATTTTAATTCTGAGAGAAAAAAGTGAGAGGGTCCTGAGATTTTGGGATGTAATTGTAATTTAATTCAGTGATTGTTTTTCGGTCTAAGTGGACATGCATTTAAAGGCAAATCAGTTATCTCAGATTGAGTTGAGCCTGTGAATGAAACAAGCAGTGAGAAGCCATTCGACCACAGAAAAAACAGAATTCCCTCCTATCTCAGGAAGGAAGGTGCTAATGCAGTGGGAAGGGAGAAGATTGACAGCAGTCAAGCTAAAACTGCCATTTGACACATGAATTTTGTTTGTTTGTTTAGAGCAGGGATGGACAGTAGTAGGTATCTCAGTAGGAGTGGGGGATAGTGTATTTATTTATTTATTTAAAATATTTTTACCCAGCCTTTCTCCTTGAAAAGGACCCAAGGCAGCTTACAACGATGAAAGACAATATTTAAAGTTGAAAACAATGAGTATACAACTGTGGTTAACATCATTAAAAGACAGTTTTTTAAAATTATGAATAAGGAGGCATCTTATATCAGTTAAGGCAAAGATCAATAAGTATACAGACATTTTAAAAATGTCACTCTGAGAAATGGAAACTATAAAAATAGAAAACACTACTACTGCTACCTACTATTAAAAATCCAGTCAAAGCAGGAATGTATAACAGTCTATCTAAAAATCACACACAGGTAGCTAGTTGCTGAGGGAAGGCTTGCCTGAAGAGAAAAGGTCTTTGCCTGCTTGTGGAAGGATAGCAAAGATGGGGCTAGTCTGGCCTCCTATGGGAGGGAGTTCCAAAGTCTGGGTGCAGAAACAGAGAAGGCTCTCTCCTGTGTCCCCATCAGATGCAGCTGCAAAGGTGGTGGGACTGAGAGAAGGGCCTTTCCTGATGATCTCAACACCCCTATCCAGTTCCCATCATAGGTCATCTACCAAGGTGACCAAAGCCACCTCTGTCCCATAACCAGGCCTGAAGCCAGATTGAAATGGGTGTAGATACTCTGTCTCATCCAGGGACCTCTGGAGCTGGGAAGACACAACTTGCTCTAGTTTCTTCCTCATGAATAGAATATTAGATACTGATCAGTAATTAGTCAGTATTGTGGGGGTCCAAGGAGGGCTTTTTAAATAATGGTCTTGCCATTGCCCCCTTTAAGCAAGATGGGATCCTACCCTGTTGCAAGGAGGCATTCACCACGCCTCCTATCCAGTCAACCATTCCCTTTCTGGCAGCTTTTATGAGCCAGGAAGGGCAAGGATCTAACAGGCATGTGGTAGCCATCAACTCTCCAAGGATCCTGACCACATCATCAGGCTGCAGCAACTGAAACTCACCCATTAACATGGGGAAATAGGGGCCACAGTTTCATTCACAGGGCCTGAAACAGTTACAACATCCAAGTCAGAGTGGTTGCACGTCATTTTTGCCTGCAAAGTGTTGTGCAAATTTTTCACAGCGAGCTACAGTGTAGTCTGCATTATCTATCTGGGGGCTAGCATGTACCAGGCCCCTAACCATTCGAAAAAGCTCCTTTGGGTGATTTTCTGCAGATGTAATAGCGGCAGAGAAGAATGACTTCTTTGCTACTACCACTCCCATGGAATAGGTATTCCAGTGGGCCCTAGCTCTTTTTCTATTGGCATCATTAGACCTTCTGGCCAGCTGTGAAAAATTGGACTGCCAATTTCTGCGTCACTTCTAAAACAGCATTGCTTCAATAGGAAACATGGAGATGGTGTGCATAGTTAATTACTTATAATTCATTCCTTTCACAACAATATAACGGTTACATTACAATTGTAATTTGAGAAAACTATGCCCTTTGCCTGAATAAGTTTTTCTTTGTAGTTCATTCTGTTGTTTATGGGGATTTGATTTACTACATGATGGTGAAGGAGGGAATATCACATGGTTCCCTTATGGTACATGATGAAGTGAAAAGAAAGTGTGTTTTGTATCACAGGCCAAAAATGTGCCTCACTCATATTGTTTAAAAAGGTATTAACAGTAGATAAGTATGGTGTTTAAGTTATAGGAAGGAGCTACTTTTTAAAGATCTCACTTATAATGGTAGTTGAGACCTGGACACTATAACTGTAATTACTTTAAAGTTAATTTCTCAGCTTTTATCTATATCTGTTTTAGTTTATGCATTTCTTCTTATACATACAAAACATAGGAATTGTTTTGCTGACGCAGATGAAAGATCTATCTGTAATGTGAGCCTATGTGTGTCTCCAGAAGAAAAGCACAGTTGGAGTTCAATGGGATTTGCTCCCTGTTAATAACATTTAGGATTGTAATACTGGCCTAGTGTTCTCTTTCCAGCAACTGCCAACCGGATGCCTGGCGATAATCTCTTGTCATTGGTCCTCAGAATTTAATACCCAGAGCTACACAGCATCTAAACATGGAGGTTTCCTTTTGTTAGCATAGCTAATAGATTGTCCTTCCTAAACTCCTACCAAAAATAAAAACCTATTGAAATAAATGGTCTTATCTGCATCTTGTGGTTAATTCCATCCCAGAGTATATATGCACAAAATAGGATATCACTTTAACTGTGGTGTTTACATCTTAAGTAATCTTTTGTCTGTTTTGAACTCATAACTGGTAAGCTTCACATGGCAGATCCCATCCTTCTTTCTAGTAGTTTAGGAGATAGAAGTCCCCCCCCCCCGCCATGTACGGCAGCCTGGTATTTAGGCATGAGCCTGGTATGTATCGTTAACAAGAAACTGTACCCACCTAGCAGCAATCTGAAAAGGAGAGAAGCCTCATTCTTCTTCTTCTTCTTCTTCTTCTTCTTCTTCTTCTTCTTCTTCTCTCTCTCTCTCTCTCTCTCTCTCTCTCTCAATCTCTCTCTCTCTCATCTGTTTGGAAATCACACAGTTTGCAGAGGAGGGAAATGTGTCTAAATGTGGCAAGAGAACTTCTGCGTCCTGCCCTTTGTCGGCTAGCCCCCAGCAGGGCAATAAAATAGTAACTTTGGAGACTAAAGGTGCTAAAGGTGAGGATACAACCTGTGCACACAGGCAGTTGGTTGATGAGAACTGGAGATAGCAGGAAAAGCTCCTGGATGTGCTGAACATTTGTACCCAGCACTTTAGGGATGGAGGAATGCTTGACCCTGTAAATGTTGCTGAATGTCACAGCCTGTCATTCCTGAATAATGAAACAGCTACATCTTGAGGCCTGGGGCTAGTGGGAATTGGAGCCCAACAACATATGAAAAGCCACAGATTCCTGTCTCCATTTCTCCCCCGTAAAACATTGTTTTGTTCTGTTACACATGCCTGGACAGCT